AGTAACTGGGAAAAAAGTCAGAACTCTGCTTAACCAAGTGTTTTGGTTAAAAATGAGAGTTGGACTGCTTTCCAATAAAGTCCAGTAATGGACTTGGCTGTGAACCAGGAGACCAGGGTCTCAGCCCTCCTACCTACCTCTGGCTGCTTTTCTGAGCTTTGGTAATTTAGCCAGCCGCACCGCATAGGGTTGTTGAGAGGCTAGACTGAGACCACCTACTAATAAAGGGTTAATGTGGTCGACCTTTGTTACTATGGTTTTATTTCTCTATTTCTGTTATTATTCAATCTCAGTTGATGAGGTCCCCCTCTGTTCAGTACTGGTAACTCCACCAGCAACCTGACCCCATTTGACTTCTGTCCCCTCTAGAATCTGTTCCATCAACTCCTTATTCCCTTGTATCTCATGCTACTTCCCTGACTCATTCCCCTCTACCCAAAACCATGTTCCAATCTCTACTCTCCTAAGAAATCCTCTATTTGGACTTTATGCACTTGGCCTTAGGCACTGGTCCTCTTCTTTGAACTGTCTACTCTGTCTTCCAAGATGACCTTATCTAGTTGTATAGCTTTAAATGACATTTAGATGCCAGTACTACCACATTTGTAACCCTGGTCCTAGATCACCCAAGAGCTTTGGAATATAATATCAGCTTCCTCAGGATGTCCACTAAGATGTTTAGCTGGCATCTTGAAAAAAAAAAATTGTGATGTATCTCGGCCTATGTGCCGAGACACACACACATTCATTTTCTTTGTGTTAATAAATGACATGACAATCAAGCCTAGAAGCTCAAGACTTAAATTGAAGAAATCTCTTTGTATTTTCTCTTTTCTTCACTCTTCCCCTCTTAATCTAGCAGTAATTATTTTCATCTCTACCTTGAAAATATCTCTCATATCATCAGCATCTTTATTCCTCATGGCTAACACCATTGTCCAAGCCATACTCATCTTTTGATTGGACCACTACTATAGCCAACTGTTCAATTTCATTCTTGCTCAAGCTCTACCTCCAGCCCCAGTCAATTTCCGTGGAAGAGCCAGAATGAACTTTTTTGAATGTAAGTTAAATTTCCAGCTTCAAATGCCTCAGTAATAGAAGAAAATTCAAACTGCCATAAGTCTTATAGCACTGCATGTCATCTGACCTGCAACTAGCATTCCAGCCTTGCCTTGTGCTTCTTTAGCTTACTTGCTATATCCCAGCCACACCAGGGTCTCATTCTTATATTCCCAGATTATCCTCAAGTTCTTTCCTGCCTCAGGGCCTGTGCACATCCACCACCTCTTCCTTAAATTGCCAGTTTCATCCTTCTGGTCTCCTCTTAATTATCACCTTTTTAGAGTGAAGTAGACCCTCTCCCACTTAGTTATACTTAATCACAAAATGAATTTAATTTCATTATTTATCTGTATAATTTCCATTTCCATTCGTGAAATGTAAAGTTTATCAGAGCTAGAACCCTAAGCCTCGTGTTCACTTTTTAGCCCCTCCCCGTGAGTGCCTCAATCCTTGGTACAGAGGAGAGTCTATAAATATGAATGAATGAGATACTGTTCCTGCTCCCAATAGGTTTAGAGCTTACAGGATGAAATAATTTGTGAACAGGCATTTACACTCTGCTGTGATGGGTGTTGTAGTGGAGTTAGTTAATGTACATGACACAGGGGTAGTATAATATGCAGAGAGATATGAAAATGTAATATACCTTAAAGCACTTAATTTTTATTGTAAGTAAAAAGAAGCTCATTTTTATTGTAGAGAATTTGGAAAATCTAGGAAAGGGTTAAGACGAAAACATTCATCTGCCATAATCTCCCTAGTGTCATTAAAAACATTACATTCATAAATCATTACCAATCCTACTTCATCTTTTGTGAATAACCTGCGGAACTCGCTGATTTTTCTTTTAGAGAGTTTATTTGTTTTGATGATTCTCAAGGATTCTTTACACAGAATATGATATTTACCTTTTAGCTGGCATGTATATTACAGATATTGTTCTTAACTTGCCATTTGACTTTTAATTTTATTTCATTCAGACTTTTGTTAACAAAGCATACTTTGACAGTATAGTTATTATGTATTTAAGAAATATACAATATTTCAACTTTAAGAAATTGATTTTTAAGCTTTTGTCATTAGTTTATGGCTTCAGGGAATTTGGTTAGAAAATATATAGAACCATGCCTGTATAGTTTCCTCTTAGAAGAATTTATTGAAGTTAGATGTTAACCTATTATATGATCTTTTGTGGTGTTTATATTTCTTTTTCATTTAAATTCTACTGTGATGCTTTAGCATTATTTTTACAATAATAATTTTCTGTTTATTTGTACTTTCATATTTTCCTACGTCTTTGTTTGGCTTGTTATTTTTAAGGTTACTGAGTCATTCTATATTAGGTGTTTATCTTACGACATGTGATTAGACTTTGTTCATTTAGACAGTCTGAGAGCTTTTCTTTGTTTTAACCTATTTATATTTATTAACACAATAGAATTGTTTTACTTTTATCACTTTTACTACACAATTTGAATATTTTCACGCTATTTCTTTTAAATGCATTTTCTGTGTTTGTTATATTTTCTTTTTATTTTTTCCTGCGGAAATTAGTATATTAACTCCCTTAACATGAATAATCACCTAACAAGGTAGACACTATAATTACAGATGAGGAAACTAAGGTGCAGAGCAGTAAGGTAACTCTCTCAAGGTGTACACACGCATGATGGTACATCCAGGACTGAAACTCAGGGATTTTAACCCAGAGCCCAAGCCCCACACTATTTTCCTTCTTAAAGTAAGATACAGATTGCAATATATCTATTGGACTTAGGTGGTGAGAGCACTATGAAGAGATTGTTAGAGTCTTCCCTGAGATCAGTGTTGGGGGTGGTGTCGAGGACAAAGTCCAGGTGACAGGGGTTGAAGTTTTACACTGAGAAGTTGGGAAGTATAGAGGGAGTATAATTAAGGCTATTGAAAAAATTTAAATATGACTGAAACACGACTGGACTGTAAATATGACTGCTGCCAGAGGGTAGCTTTTAAAGAGTAATAGAAATCCAAGCATCTATGTTTGTCAGAGAAGGCAATGGCACCCCACTCCAGTACTCTTGCCTGGAAAATCCCATGGATGGAGGAGCCTGGTAGATTGCAGTCCATGGGGTCGCGAAGAGTCAGACACGACTGAACAACTTCACTTTCACTTTTCACTTTTATGCATTGGAGAAGGAAATGGCAACCCACTCCAGTGTTCTTGCCTGGGGAATCCCAGGGATGAGGTCTCACAGAGTCGGACACGACTGAAGTGACTTAGCAGTAGCAGTAGCGTGTTTGTCAGAGTCAGAAATAAAAGGGAGGGTTTGGAGATACAGGATGAAGAGGGAGCGCCAAGGAGCTGGAAAACGCAGCAGAGGCAGAGTCAGGGGCACTGGGGTGTGCCTTGCAGAGAGTGGACAGTGGATGTGCAGTCATCTGACCCATGAAGGTTAGGTTGATGGGTAAGAAGTTAGAAGTCAGCCCCTCTGCAGTCCTCTTGTTTCTTAAAGATGTGATGTGGTTATCTGTAGGGGTTGGGCAGGTGACTTTGAAAGGGAGACGTTTGTGTGGGGATATAGAGGTGGAGAAAGCAGTTTTGCGATAGACTTGCCAACAACAAAATGAGGAATTGGGGCTTTAGGTGCAATGGATATGGGTGATTAGTTGACAGAGTGAGGGGACCGTGTGCTTGTTGAGATTATAACAGGCAGCATACAGTCTCTAGAAAAGCTGAGACCCAGGGTACCATATATGCCAAAGAAGCAGATTTAAGGGGAGTGAGTTGGGAGAGGAATGTGGGTGTGCCAAAGTTCAAAACTCCAGGGTGTGGGGTGAAGAACGAGTGTGAGCACATGGAGGACGAGTGTGGGTACACGGAAGGTGAGCGTGGGCACGTGGAAGTGAGTGTGGGCATGTGGAGGTGAGTGTGGGCACATGGAGGTGAGTGTGGGCACGTGAAGGTGAGTATGGGCACGTGAAGGTGAGTATGGGCACACGGAGGGTGAGCATGGGCACATGGAAGTGAGTGTGGGGACGTGGAGGTGAGTGTGGGCATGTGGAGGTGAGTGTGGGCATGTGGAGGGTGAGTGTGGGGACGTGGAGGGTGAGTGTGGGCATGTGGAGGTGAGTGTGGGGACATGGAGGTGAGTGTGGGGACGTGGAGGTGAGTGTGGGCATGTGGACGGTGAGTGTGGGCACATGGAAGTGAGTGTGGGCACATGGACGATGAGTGTGGGCACGTGGAGGACGCATGTGAACACGTGGCTGAAGCTGATTGGAAGATGAGGTCATTGGACTTAGGGACATCAAGGGCATTGGTCATGCTATCCACACAAATGGTCACATCTCCTTTGTGAAGATGGGTATTGGGTGACGAGCTGGTTACTAAAGTAAGCAGTTCAGGTGGGAGTCAGAATAGAGGATCAAAGAACTTGTTGCCCTGGGATTCCTGGATAGGAACAGTGGTGTGGGGGTCTTATTTTTAAGAGATGTTATTAGGTCATTCAGATGGACTATATTCCTTGAGGATGTGGAATCAAATCAAGGTAAACCATTCTTGGCTTGTGGTGGCTTCTTCCTCACCCTGCATAAGAAAGTGGAGCTAGTAGGAAGTAATTCTTCTCTGTACTTCACTTGAAACAATAATGGAAAAGGTGCATATTGAAGTTTCAAGGCCAAGTTTGGGTTGTTTTCCTTACATCCGAGGGTTATTTCTGAAAGTCAATAGAAATGTTCCATGTGGCTGGTTCTTCTTTTGCTGGTCACCAGAAGGTGACCTTTTTACTTTATTTTGAAAATCCATGTCAATTGCCAAGGTAATATCCTGGCCTAATTCAAGACCTCTTAGGATAGTTCTAGTGGGAAGCTGAAACATAAATTGTTTGGAGGTTGGCAGCTGTGATGAATGCCTACCACGCCTTCTGCAAAATTGACTCCTGCCTTGTGTGTTGCAGGTGATATTTGAATCCGTCTCTCTGAAGGGCCATCCTGGCTACATCGCTGTGGACGAGGTTCGGGTCCTTGCCCATCCATGCAGTAAGTCTCTTCTCTGCTCTAAGCACAGCCTTGTTTCATGTGGCTTGGAGGCTGCAATCCCCGCTATTCATTCAGCTCACAAACATCCCTCACTCTCTCTCTTTTTTAATCCTTCAAAAAAATGCTTACATACTCAGTGCAATCAGTCCTGAATAAATCCATAATTTCGCTGGCCTGTTCAACAGGCAAGCACCTCCAGGAATTTGCAGAGAGTGGCAAAACATCTTCGTTTGAATCTCTCTTCATTATTAAAGGAGTCTAAAGTCCTGATTGTTTATTAGTGGGATTCAGACCACTGAAGTGGAAGAATTAGAGGGCTCTGGATAGAATCTTGTGCAATTGTCTTAAAAAAAGAACCAACACCAGAAACACTGAGCAAATTAGCACACTGTTCACTCACAGGGAAAAGTACCACTAAGCTATTAATTCTTTAAAAGTAATTTTAAATACCCTCATCAACTCTGTGTAGGCGTAGGGAGAGATTTCTCCACAGTGGTTAGTACTTATGGTACAGGGTTGAGAGTTCTCAAAGGCATTCCACTCCATGCCCAGACCATTTCCACTGAAAGTTCTCTCTCTCTACTGTATTTAGGCTAAGATATTTAAATGTATTTGAGCAAGGAGCTGTGGGTCCTAGGTTCACTATATACATCTCAGAGGGGACCAATCCTGGGTACAGGTAGTTGAAAGGGCATCATATCTTGTGACATTTGATGGAGATGTTATAATCAAAGGGGTATGCATGTGGATTAAGGCAGCCCTCTATGAGGGCTGGCTAGGTTGCCAGCCCCATTAGCTAGTGTCTGCAGATTGGAGATTCTCATTAGTTACTTGGCAGGTATCAAGTAACTAATTCCTAGGAGGGTCCTTTCTCTGCTTCTTACTTAAAGCCACAAGTCATGCTATGGGCTCTGGTGCAGTTTGCTATTCCCTCAAGAGATGTCATATGTTCTGTCTTTTTTATGCCTTTTGTTCCTTCCATATTGGGCCTATTCTCATTTCTGCCCCATCCATGTTGCTTTTTATTTTAAATATGTATTTTGGCTGTGCTGAGTCTTAGTGTGGCATGTGAACTCTTCATCGTGGCACATGGGATCTAGGTCCCTGACCAGGGCTTCAGCCCAGGCCCCCTGCATTGAGAGTGTGAAGTCTTTGCCACTTGGACCACCCCCTCCACCCCCCACTGCCAGGAAGTCCCCATGTTGCTTTCATTGGACTGATTCTTTCTACTTCTACTGCAGTGAATTTGTCAGAGCCTCAGGCATCAATTCCTTCCCCAGCACTCCAGTGATATCATTTGACCTGTTGTCCTAGAGCACCATCTCTGGAGGAATTTGAGCTGAGTTCCAAGGGGTTTTGGCAAGACAACATTTGGGGTAAATGTGTTTGGGGTCTGTGTAAGAGACACCTCCTTCCTAGAAGTCAGCCAGCATCTCAGGAATGCTGATGATTATCCATTACTTTGGCCTAAGGTGTACCTTTGTGTAGTGGATATACTTATGAGTCCATCTTACAAGGATGAAGTCTCCCCCTACCTTGATCTTGGACATCAGCATCTGCTGCCCATTGGAAAATGATTGTTGACCTCAGGCCACGTCAGGAGACATCTGGTCTACCTGTGGTCCACCTAACCTTACACACTCATCCCTGCACAGCCCCCAGTTTTGAGTGAGTCTCTCTGAGACAGACCTTGGAGCTGCATCCAGCTGCTGCCTATTGCTTGGCCTGTGCAGGACGCTTGCACTAGGTCTTTCTAATAGGTGACCTTGGGTCTTCCTCAAAGGATCCGGCTTGGTTTTCTTTCCTGGGATCCCAGAACTCTGTCCTCTATGGTACCTTTGCCTTCACCATGACACCCAGCCTGACACTGTCTCTTCTCTCAGTCTTGGCTCTGCCTGAACTCTTCACACCATCTATGGTTTACTGTTGCAGCCACATGCTTCCTTCTCTCAGAGAAATCTCCACGGGCGAGAGCTCTCTGAAGGGTCTACCCTCAGAGTCTCATGGCTCCTCTTGGAACCCTCCTCCCATCGGGGCTGCTTCTGAGTTTAGGATTTTTATGACAGCTTCATACTCCTGCTGAGGAGAGAGTAGATGACTTGGTTATGGAATTGCCGAGAACCAGTTACCCAGCAAATGGGCCATGCGACATAACTCAGGAAGACGTGCCCCTGACTGTGTTCTTGCATAATGTGCTTTGTCTGAGTTCAGCCTAGATGCCTAGGAGGCTTAAGCTTAAACTTCCTAGAAATCAAAATATGAAGACTCTGTGATAGGGGCTGGAATTGGAAAATCCCACTTAACTCTACATACAAATACTAGTGGTGCACATAGTTCTCTGAGATCTGTTGTGAGTCATGTTGAGTTGACCAGGGCCTAGCCAAAGCCCATTCTGCATGCTCCGTTTATATCCAGTTTGGGTTTTTTTCATTCTTTCTTTCAGTAGTCAATTATTGATCATTAGCTATGTGTCAGGAACTTCTGCTGGACACAGGGGATACTCAAGTGACCAAGATAGATAGGCCTTTGTCCCCAGGGTGTATACTTAGCAGATGGACAGGGGGAGTTCAGACAGTTGAGTTGCTCAGTTGTGTCTGACTCTTTGTGACCCCATGGACTGCAGCAGGCCAGGCTTCCCTGTCCATCGGCAGCTCCCAGAGTTTGCTCAGACTCGTGCCCATCAAGTTGGTGATGCCATCCAACTATCTCATCCTTTGTTGTCCCCTTCTCCTTCTGCCTTCAGTCTTTCCCAGCATCAGGGTCTTTTCTAATGAGTTAGTTCTTCTCATCAGGTGGCCAAAGTATTGGCGCTTTGGCTTCAGCATCAGTCCTTCCAATGAATATTCAGGACTGATTTCCTTTAGGATTGACTAGTTTGATCTCTTGCAGTCCAAGGGACTCTCAAGAGTCTTGTCCAACACCACAGTTCAAAAGCATCACTTCTTTGGCGCTCAGCCTTTTTTATGGTCTAACTCTCACATCCATACATGACTACTGGAAAAACCATAGCTTTGACTAGATGGACCTTTGTCAGCAAAGTAATGTTCTCTTTTTAATGTGCTGTCTAGGTTGGTCATAACTTTTCTTCCAAGGAGCAAGTGTCTTTTAATTTCATGGCTGCAATCACCATCTGCAGTGATTTTGAAGCCCAAGAAAATGAAGTCTGTCACTGTTTCCAGTGTTTCCCCATCTATTTACCATGAAGTGATGGGACCAGATGCCATGATTTTAGTTTTCTGAGTGTTGAGTTTTAAGTCAACTTTTTCACTCTCCTCTTTCACTTTCATCAAGAGGCTCTTTAGTTCTTCTTCGCTTTCTTCCGTAAGGGTGGTGTCATCTACATTTCTGAGGTTATTGATATTTCTCCCAGCAATCTTGATTCCAGCTTGTCCTTCATCCAGCCCTGCATTTCACATGGTGTATTCTGCATATATATAAGTTAAATACACAGGGTGACAATATACAGCCTTGACGTACTCCTTTCCCAATTTAGAACCAGTCTGTTGTTACATGTCTGGTTCTAACTGTTGCCTCTTGACCTGCATACAGATTTCTCAGGAGGCAGGTCAGGTGGTCTGGTGTTCCCATCTCATTAAGAATTTTCTACAGTTTCTTGTGATCCACACAGTCAAAGGCTTTCACATAGTCAATGAAGAAGAAATAGATGTTTTTCTGGAATTCTCTTGCTTTCTCTAAGATCCAGCAGATATTGGCAATTTGATCTCTGGTTCCTCTGCCCTTTCTAAATCCAGCTTGAACATCTGGAAGTTCTTGATTCATATACTGTTGAAGACTAGCTTGGAGAACTTTGAGCACTACTTTGCAGGCATGTGAGATGAGTGAAGTTGTGCAATAATTTGAACATTCTTTGGCATTGCCTTTGGGATTGGAATGAAAACTGACCTTTTCCAGTCCTGTGGCCACTGCTGAGTTTTCCAAATTTGCTGGCATATTGAGTGCAGCACTTTCACAGCATCATCTTTTAGGATTTGAAATAGCTCAGCTGGAACTCCATCATCTCCACTAGCTTTGTTCGTAGTGATGCTTCCTGAGGCTCACTTGAGTTTGCACTCCAGAGGAAGAAAAGACACTAAATAAGTAACTAATATTAAATAAGTCCCTGATACAATTTTAGACTGTGATAAATATTAGGGATCTAATAAATGTGAGGGACTGGGATGTGGAGGGGCTCCTTGGGTAGAGTGGTTGGGGAGATGTCTTTGAAGGTGTAGTCTGAGCTGAGATCCGGGTCATAGAAGGAGTTCACTGTATGAAGGTTTGGGGAGAGGGCATCTAGGCAGAGGAAAGGGGAACTGCTGAGTCCGTGCGGGGGAATCACCTTGATACTGCCAGAGTATCCCGGCATGGGGAGCATGGAGGAAGTTTTCTCACTGAAAAGGAAGCAGGGTCCTGAGCATGATTGTTGAGTGGTTACATTTGAACCTAAGTGCAGGGAATCACTATGGGAGGGGTTTATGTTGGGGATGGATAGGATCTCATTTAATTGTTAAGAGATCACTTTGGCCATTCTGTGAAGGATGGGTTGAAGGAGGGAAAGAAAAGGAATAAAGAAATCAGGAGACCAGTCAGGAGGACAGTTCTGGAGTTATGCAAGAGATGGTGTGTCCCGGACCAGGGTGGTGGCAAGACATCCGTTCACCATCCAGCATGTTTACTAAGCATGTGCTCCATGCCAAACGCTAGTCTGGGTTCATGGGTGTGAGCAGGATAGATTCATTCTTTGCCCTCATGGGCAACTCCCACTGATGTGAAGGAGACTGCAAAGAAAAGCCAATAATCGGGTAATTATCTGATCTGTGACAGATGGTGAGTGAGTCCACCAAGGCTGCCATCACAAAACATAGAAACTGGGTGGCTTCAGAAGAATTTCATTTTCTCATAGTTCTGGAGGCCCCCAAGTCCAAGATACAGGCGGTGTGTGTGTCCTCACATGGTCTTTCCTCTGTGCATGTGTGCTTCTGTGTGTCTTTATGTGTCCA